GAGAGAGAGAGAGAGAGAGAGAGAGAGAGAGAGAGAGAGAGAGAGAGAGAGAGAGAGAGAGAGAGAGAGACCACGTAGAATAGGGATGGTTTATATGTGCTTGTTGACATGTTCCCTACACACAACCCATAGAAACAATGACTGTGCCTGACTGTTTTGTCCGACTTTCACCGGCTCATCAGGAGCGCTTGCCCTGGCTACGTGTGTTTGTGTTTGTGTTTGTGTTTGTGTTTGTGTGCGTGTGTGTGTGTGTGTGTGTGTGTGTGTGTGTGTGTGTGTGTGTGTGTGTGGAAACACATGTCGTACATCCTCAGCACAGACAACAACACAAAAACTGTGCACCCTACGGACACAATACTTCAGGAGGAAACAAGCATCTGAGTGAGTCAAGTCAATAGACCATCTTTGAAGGAGCATTGAAGGTCCACTTGACCTACAAAACACAGAAAAAGATACAAGCACAAGACTGAAAGGCAGACAAACGATCCAGGGCAGCAAGCAAGGAACTTGGGCTGGAGAGCATGGAGGGGGGCGGGAAGGCAGGCAACACACAAGCACACGAAACTGGTAAAACCGAAAAAAAACAGAAGTCCCAAAATGACAGAAAGACTGAAAAAAATTAAAAGCTGATGATGAGATTGTTTCGTCGGAGTTGCACCGACTCATCAGGAGGCTGAACCCTCGACTATCTGCGGAATCTCCGTATTTGATGTTTTGGGTCATGCATGAACCCTTTGACCCTTGTTGAAGGCAGACTGTCCCGAAGTGGAACATAGCAGCAGCGGGTAGCGACCCTGCGGAGCACCAGGCAGCACAGTAGAGGCAACACGGCTGCACAACGCCAAAAACGACTGCGAGGAACGACACGGCACACAGGGCATGCAGTGCCGCAACCACGCAGTGAAGCACAAGACATCAAGGCCGCGGCAGAGTGCAGACGAGGCAGTCCACACATCCAACACGAAGCAAAGCGGCACATCACCTGCTCACATCACACGTGAACGCCACAGGCTGTTGGTTCCCACCACCCACTGAGCCAGGGAGTCACTCTGACGAGCATCCGTCATTACCCACAGGCAACACAGACATCCCAAACCGAGCGCCCCGCCAGAAGAGTGCTGTAGGCACTACAGACGAGGAATGACCGACTGTTTGGCACTACTTGAAGGTGCTCAGTTGGGCATACAAAAAGTACAGAAAAAATCAGAGGAAAGCAAACTACAGGAGGAAGACGAACATACATGAAACTGATTGTGTGTGTGTGTGTGTGTGTGTGTAAAGACAAACGACAGGAGGAAGACAAACATACATGAAACTGATTGTGTGTGTGTGTGTGTGTGTGTGTGTGTGCGTGTGTGTGTTCTTGTACTCTAGAGCATTCTGATCCACAGAAGCTGAAGGACGAAGTGCAAAGGACAAAGAGGTTAACACTCGAAGAGTTGGAGCAGAAACGGAAGGACATAAGGGTAAGTCGTGACACGAGAACAAGGGGTAAATGACTAAATCCCTCAGTGAATAGCTTCACGTAAATTGTGTTTGTCCACCACCAAGTTTGTTTAATGGTTGTAATTCGCTCAGAGTCTATCAATGCAAAATACAAAACGAATAATTTACAGCAGCTTAAAAAAAGAAAAAAGGCTCGAAGTGTGCGATTACTGTTGGAATTTGTTTTCCATTGTCTGATAATTCAGGTGCAAAATTTGTACAGCGCATCAACTCTGCAAACAGTCCAACGTACATAAATAACGAAAATGTATATAAATCTTAAATGTATGAGTGCAGAGTCTGCAGACATTCAGGGTAGATCCAAGTGTTGTGTGCGTACGTGCGTGTGAGTGTGTCTGATGGTGGATACAGTGCTCGGGTGGGAATTTCAGACTGGCGCTCAGCCGCCATAGCCACAAAATGTGTGACAAGTTGACTTGAGCTGAGTTCCTGGCCGAAGGCCATCATATCTCTTGAGTTTTCTGTGTGGGCGCACTGTGCCATCTCAAGCGTGTTGCTGATTCTGCTTTGATGAAGTTGTTTTGCCATTGGCATCTGCATGTATGCATGTTGGACGTGAAATCGAGACGAGTGTGAATGCATTTTTCTTTATAGATGCACACACTAACTTATTTAAGGTAAGTTCATAAAGAATTTAAATAATTTGAAGTTCGCTTGTTTCTTTTTTTATTTTTTTTTATTTTTTTTATGCGTGTCATCCTTGCACAGGGGCCAAGCTAATCTTCTCTGTATCGTTCCAATTTTAACGGATGTCCCAAAGGACAAGTTCGCTTGTTTCTGTACACTTAAATCCAGTAAATTTTAAAATCACTCATTCCAAGTTATTCGCTTTTTTGAAGTTTTTCTTTACTCTTTTAGGTATAAAAGATCGCCATGCTCTTTTTGGTAGCCCCAGGAGGTAGTCGCGACTGTCCTTTGCACCTGGACCGTTTTTTGCCGATGGAAAAAAAAAAAAAAAACGATTGTGACGGTTGGATCGTGAATCCAATAGGCCGACCGGAAAAGCGGAGCTGCTCGGGTAAACGGGGCAGTCGTGAGTGAGATGGAAGTTCCGGTTCAGCCATCAATCTCGTGTCAGACGAAAAACACAAATGCTCACATCAGACACAACAGACACAAATGCACGTGGGATTGCTGGTATATGATCAGGAATGCCACATGTTTGTTTTCTGTTTTTGCTGTGATGCACCTTCTGCTGCGGTTCGATCCCGTGACCTGCTGTTGTCACAGTTTGGCGCGAAAGGATCTTCTGGATCAGTTCCGATTCTTCATAATTCCCCAGTTGAATGCGGAGAGCTGATGACGCTGACGGAGGGCAGTGATTTTTTATTTATTTATTTATTATTATTATTATTTTTTTTGGCTCTGCTTTGCTCAAAGGACGACTGTCATCTGGACATGTCCATCTGATGTTTGATGAGCTGTTTTCGATCCTGGTTGAATATGTTGATGACGACAACAGTAATACATTTTTACTAATAGAGACGGCTACGGTCGTCACTCGAATAGAACGCCTTGTCAGTATCGCTGTATCAAGACTGAAAGTTACCCCAAATACAGGAGAAGCTATAATGATCGGGCATTTTTTTTTCTTTCGGGTGCAGACGGCAGTAAATTAATATCAGACTTAATTTTTTGCTACTACATTTATTCGGTGTGAAAATTGTTGAATGCACAATGCGGTGCTGACGGTTTTGCTCTGTTGCCCCTCCTCAATGCACCTGCTGCTGCGGTTCGATCCCTCGACCTGCTGTTTGTCACGCTTGTGGTAAGAAAGGATCTTCTCGATCATTTGAGGATGCCGTCCGATGCGGAGCTGATGACGGTGGCAATCAAGGACTTGCAAAACGATGCGCTCTCGAAGGAGGAACATTTGCGCGCCCTTGACGAGCTGCTCATCCTTGTCGAACCCATCGATAATGCCAACGGTAACATATATTTTTTTTCCCCATTCACGGACAGATGTTTCTAGAAAGTGGTCGAGATCATTGTTTCATCTTTTTTTCTCGATTGGTGCGTGCAATTCTTGTGCAGGACCCATGCTGGTCTTCCCTGTATCGTCCCAATCGTAATGGATGATCCGGAGGACGGCAACGGTAATGATTTATCGGTGTCATGGTCACACGGTGTGCAAATTGAAAATTGAACACTCTGCATGTTGTTGAATCTCCCATGGCTCCTGAATTACCTCCTTTTTTGTTTTACCTCAGAATTGGAAATCAGTTTGTCGTCCGCAAGGTCACATTAATAAAGGCATGCTTTAGATACAGAACCCCTCTTAATCTATTTGTGGGGGTCACATAACCTCCCCTCGTCAATATATGTGTGTTGGGGGGGGGGGGGGGGGGGAGAGAGAGAGAGAGAGAGTGGGAGAGAGAGAGAGAGAGAGAGAGAGAGAGAGAGAGAGAGAGAGAGAGAGCAGGTCATCGCTGGGTCTGCCTCTGGCCGGTCACTATCATTCTGGGCAAGAGAGAGAGAGAGAGAGAGAGAGAGAGAGAGAGAGAGAGAGAGAGAGAGAGAGAGAGAGAGAGAGAGAGAGAGAGAGAGTACTTTTCGGGGGCGTTCCTTACGGATCCAGGACTTGAGAGATTGTTGTTGGAGGCGAGAGGAGGGCATGGAGTTGGGTAAGAAATCATCATTTGGTACTCCCATACATTGAGTCCTTCTTCTTCTTCGTTCTTTCTCTCTTTCTGCCTTTCTTTCTCCCGTTCTTTCTTTCTTTCTTTCTTTCTTCCTTTCTTTCTTTCTCTTTCTTTTTTTTTCTCCTCCCTCTTCTCCTCCTCGTCCTCCTCCTCCTGCTTGTCCTTGTCCTCCTCGTCTGGGATGCGAGGTGAGGAGTACTCCATGATTGTTCTCCCTCTGCTGTGTTTGTTGACGTATCACTGTGATGTTGTTAGTTAGAGGCGTGCATGATTCTGTCAGTTCGTGCATGATTAGAGTCTTCCGCTATGGTACATGTATGCATCTCTCTCCCACTTTGGTGATTCTTGGACTGAGCAGCGTGTCGACAGTTCATTCGTCCAGGCAGTTCTGCCATTTATGGTTGCGAGATTGACACTAAATCTCTTTCTTTGGGACTCTCTTGTTCCCTTTGTTTTAAAATTTTAATTGAACTTTTGTGCGTCTTTGTGTCTGTGCTCCGATCTCTTTTTTTGTTGTTGTTGGGGGGGGGGGGGGGGTTCTTTTGTGGGGATGTATGGATGGCCAGACTTGCACAAACTGGGTGGGTTGGTCGCTGTCCTGCGGATGCTCAACAGCAGTCATTCGGAGGTGCGCGCAACTGCGGCATGGGTTCTTGGGAAAGCTGCACAGAATAACCCGCTCGTTCAGTTGCAGGTAAGGAATCAGACATGCGTCAACGCACAGCCATAAAGTGCGATAAACATAAGGAGCCCACAACACCATAACCCTAAACTGTCACCCATAACCCTAAATGCCAACGCACAACCAGATCGAGTTATTAATCGATTTCGGTAAACCGATAACCCGAAACGGCCACCCATAACCCTAACGCTAACCCACTACCCACAACCCACCACCCACTAACCCGCTAACCCATAACCCATAACCCATAACACATAACCCGTAACACATAACCAATAACCAGTAACCCTTAACGCACAAAACCCCAACCCATAACTGGTGACCCTAACATATAACACTAACACATAACCCATACCTAAAATCTACAACTGCTAACCCTTACAACATAACACTAACGCATTACCCTTTTTCACTGTAAATAACTGTAAATAGATACTCCTAATCCATAACCTAACTCACTGTAAACAGATACCGCTGATCCATAACGTAACACATATGCATTGTATTCGTTTTTTTGAAAAAATGTGAAAATTGAATAGAACACATGTGCCTTGTATTTGATTTTTCCGAAAAATCCTAAAATCCGAAAAGAACGCATATGCGTTGTATTCGAAATTAGGGTTGCTCACATAGAACGCTTATGCGTCGTATTCGAATGGAAAGCAAACTATGCGGTCTCTATTCATTTTCAAATTTCAACGCATGTGCGCTATGTTCGGGGAAAGAGGCTAGTTGACTTTACGGACTCGTGGATGACTGTGTTGGCTGCTAGTTTTTTTTTTTTTTTGTTCCCCCTTTTTGTTTTCCTTTTCTCCCCCTTCCTTCTCCCCCTTCCTTCCCCCCCCCCCTGCCCCCAAATATATTCTCCCCCTTCCTTCTCACCCCCCTCCCCTCCTTCTCCCTTGTAATCCACTTTGTCCATTGTGGTGGTATATGCCTTTGAGATCTGTCGAACAGATTCTAGAGCTAGGAGCACTGTCACATTTGATGAGAATGGTCCAAGCTGACGACCGGGAGGAAGCGGTGAAGGCGCTCCACGCAGTGTCAGGTATACTGGCAGCTCTTTGCAATCAACTTTTCGATCAAGACATGAGAAACCTGGAAATCCTTTGTAAAGAAATTGTGTTACAATGCCGTATATATGATCAGGTGCGCATGTGATGTCGTATGTACATTTAATAGATATATGGCTAGGTGCATACAAAATATAACTCGCAACAGTCGTAACTAGTAAAGCAAAACTGTCCGCGCGAGCCTCTTTTTTTTCATTAGGCGGATTTCTGAGTTTCCAGGGGCCATCAATGCTAATCTTCTCCGTAGCGTTCCAGTGTTAACGGATGTCCCGAAGGACTCGTGTCGTGGATTTCTGCTGCGTGCCAATTCCAAAACGAACTGGTGTGACACTCTTTTCTTGTTTTTTTTTTTCGGCGCCAAGCTCCGCCCGGCTGAGTCCCCGGCTGAGTCCCCGGCTGAGTCCCCGGCTGAGTCCCCGGCTGAGTCCCCGGAGGATGCGGTGGTGGAAAAATTCAATCACAGAAGTTTGCCTGGGGGAGATGTACTGGTGGTTTAACTTCAAACAGAAAAAACAAAAACAAAACAAAAAAAAAAAAGGTAAAAAAGAAGAAGAAGAAGAAGAACACACGTATCTTCATTTGCTGCTTGTTGATGGTTGGTTGCGTGCTCTGCTTCGCGTGATCAGCAAAGTAAATAGGTCGCGAAGGGGTGGTAAACAGTCAACGCTGTGTGCCCGTCCGTCTAGATTTCATTTCACTTTCACTTGCAGTCATCCATCCGGCATGGGGAATTCTGTTTAACCTTCCCCCATTCCCCACCCCCCCTTCCCCGGGCCCCCCCGTGGAAAAAAAAAAAAAAAAAAAAAAAACCCTGTTCCGTTTGGCCCTGGCTCCATAATTCCATAATCCGTTCTGGGGAGCATCAGTGCGGCTCCTGTTCCACCGGCAAAGTCAAAATTACAACGTGAACACCCTCACGCTCCCCGCTGTCTGGCCCTGAACAGCATTGATTGCTCCAGCAGTGTGGAGGATTGACACGCAGCTTGCCTTACACCTATCCTTCCTCTCAGGTCCAGTTGGGTGAACCTGGAGCGCTACCGTCTTCATCCGAATAGCACACTTAGTCATTGTAGCCGTATTTGGTGCAATTCTCAGGGCAGATACGGCTATAATGACGGGGCGTTCTATTCGGGTGAAGACGGTAACTATGAAGAATTTCGCGCCAGTAGCCTGTTCAGCGGTCTCGTTGGAGACGTACGTCTATGGATTGCTGCCTGCCTATACGAAGCTAGCTAGCGCGTAATCCAGGCTCCCACGAAGGCGCTGGGGGAACGAACGATAGATGTCTCTCTACGAAGTCACTCTAGGCTTCCCGGACGAACGAGAGCGCTCTTGCTCTTGCGAGCCTCCAGGCACAAAGTGCAGCAATTCGGACACGGGAACATCTTTTTTTTTTTGTTTTTAATCTTTTTTAATTCATCCTTGCACATGGGCCATGCTAATCTTCCTTCTCTGCATCGTTCCAGTTTTAACGGATGTCCGGAAGGACAGACACCGGAAAACGAGAGCGCTTTTCCCTCCGGTCAAAATGCCTCGAGGCTCACAAGAGCGCTCTTCGTTCTTGCCTGAACCTGTGTCATATTTATCGTGAAAGCAAGAAAGGGCTAGACGATGAGGAAACACCGAAATGGCAATCACAGAACTTGCAGGTTCAAGACGCCTTTCGCCAGGGAGTGTACGTAGCCTGTAATGGTGGAACATGTCCATCTGCAGGCTGGCATCTTTTGACATCTATGTCTTTTCAAGCGGGTTCCGTTCAACCTCAACCACTACCGTCTTCACCCCAATAGAATGCCCGGTCATTATTGCTGTATTTAGACTGGAAGTTGGCCCAAATACAGCTATAATGACCGGGCGTTCTGTTCAATCTCAACCACTAGTACCTCGGCCGAGGGGGAAAATAGCGGGCCTCGGGTGGGCCTCTGACCTTTCAGGAGGGGGGGGCGAAATGAAACGACGGACGCCGATGAGATTTATCAATGGCAGCCGTCGTCGGGCCTAGCCTCCAAACTCTGTTCGGGAACAGGCATTTTCCCTAATTTCCAAACGCTGGCGGAGGTACTAGTGCTTTAACGGAGGCACGAATGAAGTCGATGATAATTGCTAGGTTTACAGAATGTTGTGCCGGTTTCTGGGCACTTGAGGTCCTTGCCCAGGTGTTCGTGTAGAGAGAGATAAAACATGGACTTGAGAGCGGAACTTGCCATGCATCAAGCAGGTAGACCTCCCAACGGCCAATCCAGCCAGCCAGAGAGCAATGCATGGCTTTTTTTTTTTCTATTTTTATTTTTGAATTTTTCGTTGGCCTGGCCGGGCAAGTGGTCCCGGGACTCTCTCGTAGCCTCGCTCGTGGGCCATTTCATCCAGTGCACATTTTCAGTTTCTCCATGCACGGCATCATATCATCGTTCCATGCCTCCGCATCATCATCTATCGGCTATTGCCTGCCGTAATCATTTTCGGCAATGACGAGAGAGAGGTGGAAGATGATGACGATGATGATGATGATGACGATGATGATGATGATGATGATGATGATGATGATGGAAAGAAGGTTGTCTGGACCATCATTTAGCGGGAACATCATGTGGACTGATATCTACCTGCAGACTCTGAATCTCGACTTTCTATAGACCTACATTCAGGCCTTAAGACCATCATTACCTACTGGACATCTATCAGACCCATCGACGCCAAACCGGCTTGTGGGCAAATCACCACCGGCCCCTCACATGTTGTACCTATGCCCCTGCATGTCCAGGCAGGCCTTTCCCAAGTACGTCCGACACCCAATTTCAGTCGCATCCCTGTCATTCTACCTACTGGGTACTTTGTCCCCGTCGGAGGCACAGCCACACATCGCGGCCAGCGGAGTTAGCACACATACATTAGTGGCAGGTCACACACATGTACTCAAGAAAACACAGTAAAACAGTCTCAAAACCAGACTTTGCAGAAATCAGATCATAAAAAAAGAAAAAAAAGAAAAAAAAAGAAAAAAGAAAAAAGAAAAAAGATCAGAAGACAGCTAAAAAGAAGAAGAAAAAAATCAGACCAAAAGACGGGGGAAAAAAAAAGAAGGAAAGATCGAAAGACTTCCGTTTGTGCGGGGGTCATTTTGTAATAAGATGATTAGATGCTCACCCTTTGATGATCGGCCCGTTCTACAAAAGGATTCCTTCCACGAATAGTCGACGATTTTGATGATTCTGCAAATTAATGATTTAATCATTTTATTTAAATTTGTTAATATTCATTCATGTGTTTGTAACTTTGTTTGGTTCTACTGCTTCGGTTTGTCTTCTGATCAGTAATTGGAAATTTGTACGTATGTGTGTATGTGTGCGCGCTTCCGGGTTGGGTGGGAGTTGTCGGGTCGGAGGAGGGGGGGGGTTGGGGGGGGTTTACCACCTTGTGCAGCTGTTGTTAGGAACCTTGAGGAAGCGCAGACCATCTTCATCCGGAACGGAGGGTTGAGATTACTCCGTAGTCTTCTGATACATGAACGTATCCCTTGGACCGTTGACAATTTTTTATTGCATCTGGGTTTGAACTTGGGTCTGTATTTCAAAAGTTTATGGGTGTACAAACTGAGCTACCTTCTTCCCCCAGCTGTATCTAGACTGAAAGATGCCTCAAATACAACTATAATGACTGTACGTTGTATTCGGGAGAAGAAGGTAGGGCCATTGGTCCCTTAACAGGTTTTGTTTATTCATAATTCATTTGTTTCTGGTCGCCTGATCTAGGGGATAGTATGTCAGTCTCAGTCAATGTGTCAGGATTGTGAGGCTGCAGGCCTCGGCAGGCCTCCACCAGCGGCTGCCCAAAAAAAATACGCGAAGGCTGTGGCAGACGGAAGCTCCACCAGCCCTGAGTCAAGGGTGGCTTGATACAGTTGAAAAAAAAAGGCGGGGTGCACCCTCTCCAACTAACTGGTAGGCCCTTGACTCTTGAGTAGCTGCAGAGACACGGGCCCTGGGACTCGGTCCGGAAAGTTCTCAGTCTGGGAAGAGCCCAGTTCAGGTGCAGGCAGCCGCGGCCGCCCGAAAATGCCGAAAGGGAGGAGGCCAGAGCATTCCGTCTTGGAGGCACTGACTGCCAGCGCTAGCTCTGTGGAGAGCGCACAAGGTCAGGCTCGTGCTCATTGAAGAAGAAGGGTGAGGAGCAGCCCTAGGCAGCTGCTTCACCAGCAGCAGCCATAGCTTCGCTGGGTGGAAGTGAGCTGGTACTGGGCCTGGGGTCATCAGGGGAGAAGGATAGCAGTGGGAACAGGCGGAATTACCTGGTGATGACCAAGGAGCGCACTCTTGTGGGTCATAGTCCTCTGCATTGCTAGCCGAGAGGAGAGTGGGCATACACACACACAC